GGCCTGCTCACGCCTGGGCGAGACTCGGGCAGCTTGCACTGCCCCGACACCCGCAGGGCTCGGGGCTGGGGATCCCCCCACGTCGGTCCTGCCTCGCTGATCCCCGGCGGGTCTCACCCTGCAGGTGGAGCAGCAGGGCTTGGATGCCTCGGCCAGTGTGGCGGCAGTGGAGGGGGTGCCGCTGGCGGCGGTGGAGCGCTGGGACGAGCAGACGGGCACGCAGCGGCTGCTGGAGAACCTGGCGGCCTACCGGGCCTTCCGCACCCTGCTGGCCCAGATGCTGGAGGAGCAGCGGGAGCAGCTGGGCGAGGCCGACGCGGGCCTGGGCCGGGCACTGGCGGCTGTCCTGCTCCAGGTCTCGGCCTTTGCCTACCACCTCGAGGAGCTGCTGCGGCTGGAGAGCCGCGGGATCCCCGGCGAGGAGGGGGATGAGGAGGAGGAGGAGGAGGATGGGCCGCCGCCCCCGCCGCGCCTCAGCCTCTTCGAGCAGAAGCTGCGGGGCCTGGGCGTGCTGCGGGAGCTGGCCCAGTGGGCCGTGAGGTCCGTGCGGGACCTGCGGCAGCTCGCCAAGCCCAGCCCGGCCACCGGCGCAGCCCCTGGCCTGGCCGAGAGCCCCTGAAGGCGAGCACAGGGTGGGGGGGCTTGGGTGCCCCTGGGGCTCCTTGCCCACCCTCTCAGAGGGCAGCTGAGAGCGAAGGAGGGGACATGGAGGGGAGGGACCATGCCATTAATCCCCATGCTTTTAATGCTTCTCCCCGTGGGGAAACTGAGGCACAGGCTGCAGTCTACCCTGGAGGGAGCAGGGATCCGCAGGGGTCCCTGGGCTCTTCTTGCTGGGCAGTTGAATTATCCCTCAGGAAGCAGCTTTGCTGCTCCCCTCAGGGCCTAGAGGCATGAGGCACTGCCCTTCTCTTTGGAATTTGGATGCTGCCTATGGCAGGCAGATGCTGCCTTGGGGCTCTTGTGGATGCAGGGCAGGAGCCAAGGGACAGAAAAGCATCACCGGGTGAAAGGAATCTTGGGACCTGCCCCCCAGCTGCAAGGCACAAGGCTTGGCCTCCTGCACGTGGACTCTCCTTCTGCCCAGCTTGGTTGGCTGCTCATTGAATTTCTGCTCTAACTGCTTGGGGGCTTTTCGGGAGGGAGGGAGGGAGCAATCAGGAGGGGGAATTCTTAATTGCTTGGACGTGATAATGGAGAGGATCTTTTAACTGAAAGGGGATCTTTTAGCTGTGATTCAGAAGCCCCTCTGCAAGGGGGTTAGTGCCTGCAGGGCTTATTTTAGGACTGGGAATGGCATGGGAGAATCTAAGAGCCCCAACCACGTCGCTTGTCCTGTGGAGTGCTGGGATGTTTCACAGCTTCCTGGGCCACGATTCTCCTGCCGGCTGGATGTGATGGCTGCCGTGTGAATAAAAGGGCTGGGAGATCTACCAGGGTGACGTACTTCTTGGGGGAGGTGGGGCAGCTCACCAGAGAGGCTGGGCTGCCCAGTTCCCACTCCAGGGAAGGGTCCATCCCAGTGGGGTGAGAGGTTTGGGGGGATGTGACCCAGTGGGAGGTCATGGGGGAGACGAAGGAGCTGGGGATGAAGGAGATGGTGGGAAGATGAGGAGGAGCCACCGGGGCCACAGAGCAGGGAGGAGGCTGGGGACGTGCGGGGCCGGCCCTGCACAAAGCGGCTTTGTGGTGGCAGGTTGGCACAGCATCGGGCACAGCGCCTGCCCCAGCGCCAGCAGCTCCTGCACAGGCACGGGGCCTCTGGGAGACAAAGAGCAGCCCCAGGCTGAGCCCCAGTGCCATCCTGCCCACCCCACCGACCCCACAGGGCTGCAGGGTTGGGGCAAGGGTGGTTTCATGGGGTCTTTTGCTAATTTTTTATCAGTGGTGCCTGCGAGGAAGAACCTGCACCTTCTTCACTGCCAGTTACTGCCTGCCCTCAGCTTCCTGCAGCTCAGACTGGATTATTTCAATCTTTATGCTTCCCTGCACTGGGGAATAACAATTTATGGCCATTATTTTTTTCAGGATTAGTCAAAGCAAGTCACTTTTCTGACAAGTATTTTTCTTGCCTGCTGCTGTGTGCTTGAAGCCACCTTGCTCTTCTCCCCTTGCACCCTCCAGCTCAGCAGTGGCTGGGTGCTCACACCCTCCTCACCTTCCTGGGGGTGGCCAGGGACATCTGCAGTGTGTCCTTGAACCTCACCACCCTACCAGGTGGGAACAGACCTCTTTTCTCCGGCAGCACAGGCCGGGTACGAGGTGACCTTCAGATCCCAGGGAGCCGGCCAAGGCTGCAACCCGATCCTCCCACCTCAGCTGCTGGCAGAGAACTCAGCTCGGGGCTGCATTTGCACTCCAGGGTGAAAGCAGCAATGGAGACCCAAGGTGGACGGTGGTGTTGCCCCAGGGATTTCACTGGGCTTTTGCAATCTTCCTCACTCCTTCCCTGTTACCTTGCCAGCTGGGTGCACCTGCATTTGTGGAGCAGCCACCGCGCTCAGGAATGGCCACCCTACCCAGAAACAATGGGAAAAAGCAATCCATTAATCCAAACCTCCAGGCTTTGGCTGAGCGAGAGGCTCCAGCTCTGGGCCTTTCCCTGCCAGCCAGCCCCCGCCATGCCGTGCAGAGGCGGTGACGTCTGAGCTGGCTGGGGTTTAATGCTATTTTTCAGCTGCAGCCCTGAGGGAATCACCAGTGAAGTGATTTGGCGAGGACAAGGGCGCCCGACAGCTGAGCTCCCGTGGTGCCAGGAGGCCCTTGGATTTGCTCTGCCATGGATTGAAGTGAAGTTGATCTGAGTGGCTGAAGGCAAACGAAGCTGTTCATTTTGGAATCAGAAATTAGGAGTTTGAGGGGAGGACAGTTGTACCCATGTGGTTAAGGCTGCTGAGGACCCCTGCAATGGCCTCCTGCAAACTGAGGACCCACCAAAACCATCCAGCTTTGTGCTTTGGGAAGAGAGAAGGGATTTGTAGTGCTGGTGGGAACAGGGAACTGGGAGTGGGTGGGAGGGAGGGGTGCACTCCCAAATTGCAGCAGGGATGCAGCCACCAAAAGCAACCCATGGACGTGTTTAATTTCAAAATAATAAATGTTTTTAGGGCTTAACGTGTGGCTGGGCACACTTTGTGGGGTTGGAAAGGTTTTGAGCTGGCTGAGGCTGCACCTCAGGCCTTGATGCTGGGTGAGAATGGATTTGCTCCTTGCCCAGAGGCCGGTGGGATTCCACTGTGCTGGTCCCACTGCTTCACCCACAGTCCCACACCAGTGTTGCAGTGCCGGCTTCTGACTTCTTGATCCTGAGCTGGAGCTGAGGTGGGTGGATATTCACCAACACTTTCCTTTTTTAATAGCAGGAAAGCCTTTTCCTCCTGTCTGAGTCAGTGGAAAGGATTTCCCCGGGTTTCCCCCGTCATAGCCTTGGCTGCACTTGTCTGCCTCGAATGAACAGGTGAAAACCCAGAGGAGTGGCTCTCTGTGGCTGTGCTGCTTTCCTGGGAAGGGCCAGGAGACCTCCCTCCTTGCAGGAAAATGTGCCTCGAGCGTAGCCCCATGTGTATATCCAAGTGTGAGCTGGAAAAAGGAGAACTTTTGTGGTTCACCTCATCCTCTCTCACCACAGCGCCTGCCAGCTGGCATCACCGCAGTCAGTCCCCACCTGTTCCCCCTTTTCCTTCCCTTCGTTTTTTCCTCTCTTTTGGATCTTGCCTAATGGTTTCTCACCACAAACGCCTCTGGCAGGCACTCAGCAGCATGGGCAGTGCCTGGGAAACAGGTTTGTCCGGAGAGGAGCTCCACCACCTGCCTGGGGATGAGCTGCCTGCAGGCTGAGGTGGATCATGGACTGGGGGATTTCCTGTGCTGCCAAACCTGGGACACAGGGGCAATTTGTACATTTCTCCCAAATCAGGAAAGTCCAGGTGTTTCATATACAAGGAAGTCAGTGTTAGGTGTGTCTGAGCACAGGAGCACAAAAGGAGGTGAGACCAGTCTGTCACCAATATCCTGCCATTCAGGGCTGTCCTGGGAAGCTGCTTATGGGGCTCCGTGGAAGAACAAGCTCAGGAATGTTTTTCTGGCCTGCTGGGCAGGGCCAGCACTGGCTGCTCCTGAGTCTGAGGGTTGCACAGGGTTGTGCACGTCACAGTAGGGGCAGCCAGGCAGCTGGGAGAGCTGGGATGCAGGAGCTGGGGTTACAGCCCACGTGCCCCCAGACATGAGGCAATTTTGGGCTTTGAAACAATTGTTGTGTGTCATGGGTCACGGGCAAGAGCAGCTCAGGGGGCCACTTCCTGAAGAAGCTCTTGGACCACATTTCTATGACACAGCACATGGAGCAGTTTCCCTGTGACCCACCAGCACCCTGAGTCAGGGCTGGCAGGCAGCAACTGGGGGGTCCCCACAAGGATGTGTGCACACCAGGGGCTCCCTGGGCTGCACACCTGGTTAGGAGTACAGGAGAGGTGTCTTCGGGCTGCAGGGTGGGGGTACAGGGACATTGGGAGGGTTCCCAGGGGAGCAGGGTGGGGGTACAGGGACTACAGGGACAGTGGGGAGCGGTATGCAGGACAGGGATATGGGGACAGTGGGGACCCGGGATGCAGGACAGGGATACGGGGACAGTGCAGACCCGGGATGCAGGACAGGGATACGGGGACAGTGGGAGGTGTCGGGGTGCAGATGGGGGTACCGGGACAGGGGCGGGATGGGTCCCTCGCCCCTCGTGGTCGCTCGGTGCCACCGGGGCGGGGCGCGCTGACGTGGCGCGGTGCCGCCCCCGGCCCGGGGCGCTCGGTGCGGGCGGGGCCGGGCGGAGCGGGCCGGGAGCGGCGCCGCGGGTGCGCGCAGGGGCGAGCGAGGGGCGGCCCGGCCGTGCGCGGCTCCGGCCCCGGGCGGGGGCGGGCAGAGCCCTGCGCCGCGCCGAGCATGCGAGAGCCGCCGGGGCGGGCGGCAGCGGCGCAGCCAGCCGGGGCCGCGGCCGGGGCGGCGGAGCCATGCTGCTGGCCTCGGCCGTGGTGGTGTGGGAATGGCTGAACGAGCACGGGCGCTGGCGGCCCTACAGCCCGGCCGTCAGCCACCACATCGAGGCGGTGGCCCGCGCCGGGCCGCGGGCGGGCGGCAGCGTGGTGCTGGGCCAGGCCGACAGCCGCCTGGCGCCCTACATCATCGACCTGCAGTCCATGCACCAGTTCCGCCAGGACACCGGTGAGTCGGCCCCGCGGCCCGGCCGTGCTCGGCGCTCCCGCCCGCAGCGGCCCCGCGCGGCGGCACGGCCGGGCGGGCGGGCGGGAGGGGCGTCCCGGTGTCCCCCGCTCTGGGGCCGTGCGGGGCTGCACCGAGCGGCGCTGCCGGGCCCCGCCGTGCCCGATCCCGCCGCGATGCCAGCTCGCCCGTGTCCTCCCACCTGGTTCCCAGGTCCTCGCCCTGCCCTCGCTTCCATCCTGCCCGCGCATCCCTGGTCCCCCCCGGGGTCGTGCTGCCCGCCCTCCTCGCTGCTGCAGGGCCCTGTTGCACCCACCCCATCCTTCTCCCTTCAGGAGAGCTCATCTTCTGCACACCCTTCCAGGGCCGTGCCCTGCTCTCTGTGCCGCCATCGACCTAGAGCTGAATGGCACTTGGGTGACAGATCCTGCATCCCGGGGGGATGGCAGCCCCAGGGCAGGGACACAAGCAGGTGCAGGGATGCTCGGGGAGGGCATGGGCAGGTGGGTGGGTCCCAGCGTGATGGGGCTGTCTGTCCCCCACCTCCTGGGGTTGTCTGGGATGTGGGGCACAAGCACCCATGGCAGGGCGTTGGAATGGGGGGTTGTGATCCTCAACACCCCCGTGATGGCCAGTGTGCTTTGTCCCTGGGGTGCAGCAGAGCGCCAGACACCCTCCTTTGTCCCTCTTTCCCCAGCAGCCCTGGGGGCTGGCGGCGACCCTCCCCTGCCCGTGGGTGTGGGGACAAGGGACCTCTGCGAGCAGGGTGGCTGGGGGCCAGCTTCTGAGGGCTATTGTTGCCCAGGGTGGAGGACTGAAAGGGAGATTGTTCTGTCTCTCCCTGGGTTGCTGGGGATGTTGGTATTTTGGGTCATTAAACAGCTCTGATTTGGGGGGGTCGCGACCCTGGCAGGCCCTGAATAGCTATTGTTCCCTTTCTTCCCCTGTTGAATGGGAGGCCGGCTGGCGGCGAGGGGCTGGGGGAACACACAGCATTCCCACACTGCTGCCTGGGGACCGCCAGATGCCGCATGCCGCCGCCAGATTAGGATAAATCACTGCCCCGCTCCCCTCGGCTTTTCTGCCCCGAGTGCCCCTTGGCAGGACAGGGCGGGTGGCTCGGCTTGGCTGGGGTGTAGCTGCACCCCATGCCCCTTTGGCAGGGTGCTGATAAACACCTTTTCCTTCTTATCCCACTCGTGTCCCTGTGGGACCTGCGGTGGCGGCTGTTCTCTGCGGAGAGGTGGGGGTGAGAAAGGACTGAAATTCTTGGAGGCTTTGCAGGACACGTGGTGAAAAGCCGAAGCAGCAGACTTGTTATTCCTTCTCTCTGAGTGCTTTCTTGTTCCTCACACTGGGCTGAGCCATGGGGATCCGCAGAGGGACCTGGAGGCAGTGGTGCTTGTCCCACCTGTTACCAGACACCTCTGGGCATTAGTGACGTGCTCAGGATGGGACCCCAGTACCATGCACACCCAGTCCTGCCCTGCTGTGAGACATCCCAAAGAGGAAGCCTTTCTCCTCATTGTAGGAGTTCCCAAAATTTGTGTCCATGCTTCAAATGCATCCTAGTTGATTGGGAGTGGTGGAAAAGGAAACGCTTAGCCAAAATAAGGATGCAAGGCACAAAGCCTTGGTGCTTTGTGCTCTCATCCCACTCCTAATGTTTGCTGATGGGGCAGCAGGAGTTGGGCACAGGGCCCCGCTCAAACTCCTTAGCTTGGCCTCACAGGGATTTTCCCTGTGAGGAAAATCAGTTGCCACAGTTGGGGTTTTCATCGGGGCCGGTTTGGCAGCTGCAGATGGTGGGGCTGGCACGAGCCCCGGTCCCTTACGTGCGTGAGGACCTGTGTGTGTCACTGCTTGGGGCTCAGAGCTGCCCCTCAAATCTTTTATTCACCTGTTCCAGCCCAGAGCTGTGAGGGAGACAGGCACTGCAGGACTTGGGTGCCCTAATGCCTGGTTTCATCAGGCTCCCGCGGGAGGTCCCTGGGAGCAGGCTGGAGCAGCCAAACTTGTGGTTCTGTGTTTCCCCATCAGGGCTGAGTGGCTCCATGCTTGGCCTGTGGGCCAGTGGGAGTGAAATCTGCCCTTCCCTTCAGCCCAGTTGCACTGGTGGTGCACCCCAGGTTGTGGGGTGTAGGAGCTCCCTGCCCTCTGGGGAAACTGAGGCACACCGGTCCCCTGGCAGGGCGGGGACAGCAGCAGAGCCGGAAAGCCGCGCTGTCCCCGCGTGGAATGGCACCGGCAGGGCAGGTCGGGGTGGTTTCACTGCCTGCCCACGGGTGGGTGCTGGCGCCAGGGTCTGACAGCATCTGTCGCCCTCCCTCAGGCACCATCCGGCCCGTCCGGCGCAGCTACTACGACCCGTCCTCGGCGCCGGGCAAGGGAGTGGTCTGGGAGTGGGAGAATGACAGCGGCACGTGGACGCCCTACGACATGGACGTGGGCATCACCATCCAGCGCGCCTACGAGAAGCAGCACCCCTGGGTGGACCTGAGCGCCATCGGCTTCTGCTACGTCATCGACTTCGCCACCATGGGCCAGATCAACCGGCAGACCCAGCGCAAGCGCCGCGTCCGCCGCCGCCTCGACATGGTCTACCCGCTGGTGTCGGGCACCCTGCCCAAGTCGCAGTCGTGGCCGGCCAGCCCCGGGGCGGCGGCGGCCCCGCCGGTGCCCGCCTGCACGTGTCCCCAGTGCCTGCTGGTCATGAGCGTCAAAGCCGCCGCCGCCGCTGCCGGCCCCGGCACCTCCACGCTGCAGCCCCGCAAAGCCGCCCCCGCAAAGCCGCCGGCCACCCCCAAGCCCCCGGTGCCCGCGGCGGGGCCGAAGGCGCCGGACGGCGTGGCCGCGGTGCGCGGCTCGCTGAAGCCGCTGGCGGCGCAGGGGGGCCGGCGGCAGGCGGCCAGCACGCCCGCCCTGAGCTCGGCCGGCGCCTCCGGCAGCCCCCCCGGCGGCGTGGGCAGCGGCAAAGGCTCCCGGGCCAGCCTCGGCACCCTGAACCGCAGCCACCTGCAGCGCCTGGCCATCGCCCAGTCCCGCGTGCTCATCGCCTCCGGGTGAGTCCCACGGCGTGCCGGGCTGGAGAAAGGGACGGCACAGACTTGTCCCCCTCCCCAGGGAAGGCTGCAGCCCTCACTGCAGGGGTCTGTCACCCCTGAGCGTGGTGGGAGACCCTCGGTGGTGCCCAGCCTCCCCTGGAGGGTAGTGGGTTCTACTGGGCCCCTCGCCTTCCCCACAGGTGCCTGAGGACCGGAGCAGGGATGGGGTGGCTCCTGCATCTCAATGAAGAGGCTGAGGCTGCTCTTTCTCTTGGAGTCAGGGGTTGGGTGGGGGACTGCGAAAGGCCCAAAGAAAAGCCATTCAGGCCCCATGAGAAGGGGTCCCTCCAGACCCCCACCCTCTAAAGACATTTTTTTGTGATGGGGTGGACATTTAATGGGCCTGTTTCTCCCCTTTGTCTGGCTCTGCCGTCAGCCTTCTGTCACAGCCTGGCCCCTTTCCTCTCCCTCTCCATTCTCCCCCTTCCCTCTGCTCCTGACCTGCTGGGAAACTTTCCCATGGAAGAGAGCCCCAGGGGGAGGGGGGAAAGAGCTGTGGCAGTGACGTGGCTGTAGGAGAAAAGAGGAAAAGAAACAACAGACTGGCCCGGGGAGCTGTGACAAAAAGGGGCCATGAATGGAGATGCAGTCAGGGTTTCTAAAGCGCCAGAGAAAAGGCAGTGGTGGGACAGGGAGGGGCATGTTGCCCCGTTGGGGGGATTCTCTTTTTCCAGCCAGGGCCTGTGCAGTTGCTCAGGCAACTGTTGTGTGGCCCCTGGGCCCTGTGGGGACGTGGGTGCCTCCTGCCTGTCCTGACGTGGTCTGTGCTGGCTCCCCTCAGGGTCCCCACCGTCCCTGTGAAGAACCTCACTGGCTCCAGCCCCGTCAACCCAGCACTGGCAGGTGAGGATGGGGCCGCAGCGGGTGCTGCTTCCCCCAGGGTGGGAGGACAAACAGCCCCAGTGGGGCAGGTTTTGGGGAGCCTCTGGGTTTCAGGGTGTTTTTTTCCTCAGTGCCATTTGTTCCCTCCTTGCGCAGGGATCACGGGGATCCTCATGAGCGCGGCCGGGCTGCCTGTGTGCCTGACCCGGCCCCCCAAGCTGGTGCTGCACCCCCCGCCCGTCAGCAAGAGCGAGATCCAGTCCATCCCCGGCATCTCCCACTCCTGCCGCAAGACCACCAAGAAACAGGCCAAGAAGGGTAAGAGAGATGTCCCTCCTGCCCTTCCTGGTTCCCCTGTGCCCCCCATCCCTTCTGCTGCCCCTGGCAGTGGGTTTCTCCCATCCTTTGACCCTCGCTCTCCCGCAGGTAAAACCCCAGAGGAGGTGCTGAAGAAATACCTGCAGAAGGTGCGGCATCCGCCAGATGAGGTGCGAGCAGCAGGGCTGTGCCAGGGGCTTTCTCCTGGGATGAGGGGCTGGGGACACATGCAATGCCCCCCTGTATGGCTCTGCCCTGTCCCCAGAGAGGGGCTGTGTGCTGCATGCATGGCCCCTGCAGGGTGACAGCCCTGCCCAGGGCTGGGTGCGGGTCCCTGGGTGAGAGCAGGGCAGCCCATCAGCGCCCATCCCTCTGATCCCTGTCCTCCCTCCGGCACAGGACTGCACCATCTGCATGGAGCGCCTCTCTGCCCCCTCTGGCTACAAGGGGCCCCAGCCGGCCATCAAGCCTGACCTCGTGGGGAAGCTGGTCAAGTGCAGCCACGTCTTCCACCTCCACTGCCTGGTGGCCATGTACAACAACGGCAACAAGGTGAGAGCCTGCGGCCCTGGGGACCCCCAGCTCAGCCACCTCTGCTGAGCTCCACGAGCTCCCCATGGGACACAGCTCTAGCCTGGCTGCCCTGGAGGACTCCTGAGCTCCCACCCTGACTCAGAGTTTAATTTTTATCAGCAGCAAGCATTTGGGGACTGCTAAATCAGAACCCAGGGTTGTGTGGGTGTGTTTCCCCCACTATGCCCAGATTTTTGTGCTTGTTTTCCTTACCAGGGTGGACTTTGATCCCTGCATATTTGAGCAGAGCTACCTGGAATTTGGTGCCAGGCAGTGCTTCTCCAGCCACGGGAGAGTTTTTGCAAATACCCCTCGTGCTTGACATTCTCTGGAAAATGCATTGTTTGGAGATTTTCAATATTTTTTATATTTCCCTCTTTGAAAAAACAAAGCAAAACAAAGCACCAATTCAGAGCTAGGGAAAGCAATGAGGACTGGAAAACTGATGGGGAAGAGAAATGCAGACCTCAGGTTTTTGGTTGAAGTTGGATAGTGCATTCTCCCAGCCCTACCCCAGGTTCCTGAGAGTTTTTGAAATTATGTTTTTCCCAATTAAAACAACATTCAGTGCTGCTCAGGGACTCAGTACTTGGCGTGGCTCAGTGCTGGAGATTCTGATTTCACCATGTCCCCCTTTTTCCCACTCTCAGGATGGGAGTCTGCAGTGTCCCACCTGCAAAACCATCTATGGGGTGAAGACAGGGACGCAGCCTCCTGGGAAGATGGAATATCACATCATCCCCCACGCGCTGCCCGGCCACGCTGACTGCAAAACCATCCGCATCATCTACAACATCCCCCCGGGGGTGCAGGTGGGTCTGGGGGGCCACCAGGGGGCTCTGGCAGCCCTTGTCACGGCTCTATCACCCCCAGGTCCCACTGCAGCTCGTGCCTTGGCTCAGAAGCTGCTTGTCCATAAGGATGTTGTGGGAAGTCTGGGGTGTATCTGCATGAAAGTGCTGTCTCTGTCTGCTTGGTGGCAGGGGGATGGTGGCCATCAGTGCCCACCAAGGCTTGGGGAGTTGCCCTGTGCCCAGAGACTGCTTTTGAGCTCCAGAAGGGTTTTCTTTTCCCCTCCACATTGCAGGGACCAGAGCATCCAAACCCTGGGAAGAGCTTCACGGCCCGTGGCTTCCCCCGGCACTGCTACCTGCCAGACAGTGAGAAGGGCAGGAAGGTGAGGCATGCCTGGGTGGGAAAAGCAAACATGGCTTAAGCAGGGGAATGTGGGTGGAGGTTTAGCCCACAGCCCATCCAGCAGGCTCTGCAGGAGCCCTGGCTCCTTCCCCTGCAGGCTCGGCAGCCCTGTCCCTCTGTTCTGGCTGGGGCAGGAGGCTGTGCTGGGATGCTCCAGGAGGCCTTGCCTGTGGGCTGCCCACGTGGCCGTGCCTGCTTTGCTGCCTGCCCCATTCCTGGCCTCCACAGGTACTGAAGTTGCTGCTGGTGGCCTGGGACCGGCGCCTGATCTTCGCCATCGGGACCTCCAGCACCACGGGCGAGTCGGACACAGTGATCTGGAATGAGATCCACCACAAGACAGAGTTCGGCTCCAACCTCACTGGCCATGGCTACCCCGACATCAACTACCTGGACAATGTCCTGGCTGAGCTGGCAGCCCAGGGCATCACTGAGGAGAGCCTGGCACAGGAGAAGGACTGAGACTGTGGCGAGGAGGCAAGGAAAGGGTTGCCTGTGCTGGCACCCACCAGGATAAAGCTGCTGGAGATACCTGCCTGGGGGTTTCCAGGGCACACCTGGAGCCCCCTGCTCCCAGTGGCAGCCACGCAGTGCCCCAGGCTGGCTGGGAATGTGGGAGAAGGTCCTTTTGGCCGTCCCCTTCACTCCTGCAGGGCGGGAACATCCCCATACACAGCTGTGGGGCTTCAGGCTGGCTTGGCCGCCCCTCTGGATGGTGTTCTGTCCTCGCTGTCACTGTGCTGAGGGCATGGGGAGTGCCAGGCTCCCCTCTCTTTCCTCATCTGTGCCAGTCCCAGCCTGACCCAACACCCCTGCCACCCACCTGGGGCTGGGACCTGGCTTGGGGTGGGAGCTGGGGCCACAGGAGTCCCCCTTGCTCTGCCTCGTCCCTCTGACGTTTGTTTGTCTGTTTGTTCTGTCCGGTACCTCCCCACTGGTCTCCTGTGTCTGTGGAGGTTGGGGGGCCTGGGCTGCCTCAGCTCCTCCCAGCCCTGCCCCCTGCTCCCCTTGGCTGTGTCTGAGCTGTGCCCTGCAGGGTCCCCATGTCCCTCTGCATGCCAGGGAGGGGCTGGTGGGTGGTAGGAAGTGTGTGTGGGGGGACAGTGACATCCCACCCCCCCGCAGTGGGTTCCTTGAACTGTTCGTATGGGGGCGTCCCCACGTTGGAATTTCTATATACCTCGTGTTTTGGGGTTTTGTCGTATATCTGTACATATAGGGGCACATCTGGGGAGGCAGCCTAGGAGAACGTAGTGCTGCAGCCGAGCTGGGGCTGGGCACAGTGGTGCTTGGGGTTGGGACAGGGGCTCTGGGGCCCCCCACCCCGACAGGGCTCTGCCCCACGGGAGGGCTGTCACTTGTGGGTCCCCATGGGGCCAGGTGCAGGTGGGGTAAGAAGTGTCCCCCTTCCTGCCCCCGGAGAGGCCTTGGAGAGGTCTGCAGGGGAAGGTGCTTGGTGAGGGGTTGGCGTGGGCTGGGCCAGGAGGGTGGTGTGGGTAGGAGAGTGTGGGTGATGGGGGTGGGGGAAGTGTGTTCCAAGGCTCTGGGGGTCCCTGTCAGCCCCCTGGGGTGACTGGGCCTTGGAGAGCCCAGGTGGAAGAAGGTGTCCCTGCCCAGGGCAGGGGTTAGGAATGAGAGTCTGTGGGGTCCCTTCCATCCCAAACCCGGGGTTCATGGGGCCTCTCAGAGCCACCTGTGCCGGGTGCTGGGGGTTTCCCGGCCCTCTGTGCTGGTGGGAGGGGGGCCCATCCTGCTGTGCATCGTTCTGTTGTCGTTGCTGTTTTTCCTCTCCGTGGCCTGGAGGGTCCGTCACCCCTGCGGCCACCCCGTGGAGGGGCTGGGGGTCAATAAAGCGGATGGCAGGGGACTCTGGCGGTCCCTGCACGGCCTGGCCTCTCCGTTGTCTTCTGTCAGTCATCTGTGTGGCCGGGCGAGCCAGGGGCACTGTGGGCAGGGCCAGGCACCCCGAGTCCCCCTGATTTCCCTTTGCACCCATCTGTGCCCAGCTGCCCTCAGCGTGGGTTGTTATCTTCTACCTCAAGGGAGAAACCCTCTTTCCCCAGGCACACGCCCCTGTTTGGGTGGCTCTCAGCCGTGTGATTTCTCCTCCACTGCACGCCCTGGGTTTTCCCCAGTGCAGACAAAGCCTGTCTGGAGCTATGCAAAACCCTCTGGGCGAGAGGGGGGAGGGTCTCCCACCTCCGCGGTGCCAGCCCGATGGCTCTTACTGTGAGTAAGTCCTTCCACAACGTGACTTTTTTTCCTTTTTTTAATGCTCTGTTGACTACACGATGAGTTGCTGGCTGAAATAAAACTGCTCCGTGCCTCTCTGCATGCGTGTGTATATCTATCCCGATAGATATACATGGAGATAGGGGTTGCAGCTTGCAGCATGCAGGATTTGGGAGATAGCCCTCCCCGGGGCCCCTCCGCTCCCTCCTTTTCCCGTGGGTTTGGGGATTTGGGCCACAGGGGGAGGGGGCACTCAGGGCACCGTCCCCTCCATCTCCTGCTGGTACCCCTCGCCCACACTCAGCACCGTGCTGTGCTCGGGGCTGGCGGGGGCCGGGCTGTCCCCTGTGCCCAGCTTGCGGTACCCCCTGGCCCTGTAGCGCCGGTGGCCGTACCAGGCTGTCCCCAGGCCGGTGGCCAGCCCGGCCAGCACGGCCACGGTGACTCCGGCCACCTCTCCCCCTGACAGCCCCCGGCCCCCGACCATGTCGGCCGCGTGCTGCGCCTCTTCGGGCCGTGCCAGCCGCCACACGTGGCTCTGGCCGTCCCTCACCCAGGTGCTGTCCCCGTCCCGCACCAGCAGCGTGTCCACGGCCGGCAGGTTGGCGGGGGGCCGGGTGAAGGGGGGCAGGCGGGCGGGCGGCAGCGAGCCCCCGGTGAGGAGCCCGGCCTGGACGCAGAACTGCACCTGGCAGCTGTCGCTGATGAGTGCCAGGTGCTGGCTGAAGCCCGGGGGACAGCCCTTGGTGTGGGCGTCCTCAGCCGTGCCCCGGTGCTGCCCGGCCAGGGGGTTCCCGGCCTGGCAGCTGAAGAAGCCCCCGAAGGGCACCGCATACTCGGCCCCCGCCTCGTAATCCTGGCTCACGCACACTCTGAGCTCGCCAAAGAGCTTCAGTGGGAAGAAGCCCGAGGGACAGGACGGGGCTCTGGTGATGGGGTTGGCGCTGTGGGTGCTGAACAGCCCCCCAAAGAGGTACCCCGAGTTCGGAGGCACCGGCCCGCTCGCGGCGCACCAGTAGGCGCTGAACTGCACCCGGGAGAGCCAGAAGACATCCTGGCACTCGCGGTGGCAGAAGATGCCCAGGGTGCACTTGTTGTGGCACTCCAGGTGGCTGTGACCCTCCTCCCTCTCCTGCACGCCCAGCAGCACCGGGGTGTAGGCGGCGGGGCAGGAGAAGGCCCCGGTGAGGGGGTTCCTCTGCTCCAGCGCCCGGCACAGCGCGCCAGTGTCGGGACCGCCCAGGCCCACGCACTCCTGGAAGACTCCCCCGAAGGTGAAGTTGGCCATGGTGCCCTCGCAGGAGCCGTCATCAGTGTTGGCGTGGAAGTTGAAGTTGGGCGAGGAGGGGTCGGTGCAGCCCGGGGCGGTGTTGAAAGTGTAGTAGCGGCGGATGGCGAGCTCCACGCGCCGGGCCAGCCTCCGCACCGTGGGCACCGGCAGCTCCGGCAGCGCGCTCGGCTTGATGAAGTAGTACAGGGGCAGCCCCGAGCGGTCCAGGGCCACCAGCTGGTTTTGAATCCTCTCCTGCCACGTCTTCAGGGTGATGCCTGGGTAAAAGGGGGCCCCACCGATGCTCTCCACCCTGGAGTTGGTGCGGTTGTCCAGGTACTGCTTGGTGAAGCCCGAGCTGACGTCCAGGGATTCCTTGGTTCCCACATTGACAATACTGTGGAAGGCCACACCGGCTGAGGCGGTGACAGTGCTCCGTGTGGCCCAGCTGTCCTTCAGGAAGGTAGCTTTGATCTGGTCCTCCTGCACCAGGGTGGCTCCTGCATCCACAGAGGTGATGGTGTGGGTGCCGTAGTTGAGCACCAGCACCTCGGCCAGGAAATCGGCCATCTGGGTCTGGTTGTTCTCCAGGTGGCTGGCGATGGTCAGCAGCTGCTTCTTGAAGGCCTTGTCCAGGGCCGCCTCGGGGTCGATCTTGGCCGTGTAAACGAGGTTCCTGACTTGCACCCGGGTGGTGACAGCCTTGTCTTTCACCTGGTGGGTCTTGGTGCGGTGGAAGTCGCTGGAGAATTTGCCGTTGATGGAGGAGAAGAGGGACAGCTCCAGGTTGATGGAGGCAGAGGTGATGCTCTGGTAATCCTTCCAGGACTCGATGATCTCAGAGTTGATGTCCAGGTTGCTCTGCTTGCGGGGGATGGTGAAGATCTCGTCTGGGATGAGGTAAGATCCATCTTCTGTGGTCTTGCACTGTGAGTAGCCCAGGTTGATGACTCTGCCCATATCCAGATTCCTGAGGTTATCCCAGCCACCCCCCGGCAGAACTTCCAGACTTGAGAGATTCAAGGTCTTTCTGCACACCCCAAACCCCAAAGAGGACGAGAGTTCCTGGGGCTGCTCAGCCCCCGTCACCCACGCCAGCAGTGCCCAGGTGAGCGAGGCCCCCCCGAGCCCAAAGCCCATGGCTGAGCCGGTGCTGGGCACTCACCAGCCGGAGCGGAGGGACCGGAGCTGGGAAAACGAGCTGGCTGAGGGAATTGACGAAAGGGAAAGGAGAAGTGAGAACTGAGGCATGTGAGAAATGACAGAGGGGAAACCAAGACCAGGGAGGGGGTGGGAGCAGGAAGGTGTCTGTCCCTCCCTCTGCCCCGCCAGGGACTCTCTGCAGCCTCCTCTGCCCCACTCCCGTCCTTCCCCCAGGGTCTGCAGTGTCACCAGCCGGGGACAGCACCTCCTGCTCGGGAATGCTGAGCCACAGGTGCTGAGGGCTCTGATCCAGCTCTGCCCAGCTGCTGCCTGGCTGGGCTTTGGATTCAGCAGCACAGGGCAGGTGTTGCAAGTTTTGGGGAATAAACAGCAAAGGAAGTTTCTGCTGTGAAAACAGTGACTCTTTCCATACAGACAGATTCACTTCCCCTGGTTTTGCTCCCAAGTTCCTCTTTGCAGGACACTTCTGCCTGGGAGGAGGCTGAAGTGACAGCTGTGATGGAGGCATAGGGACTGTAGGTGCCTGTGTTTTTTGGGCAGGATAATGCCAGGAGTGGGGGGTGAAGAGATAACAGGAACGCCATTGTGTTGGGGAAGATGAAACAGGAAAGCCTTATTAATATGATTGCCTGGCAAAAGATTTAGAGACTATAGAAAACTATAAGTGAGATTGAAATGAAAGCAAGCTTTGAGATACCTTAGTTACTGAACCACTGGAAAACAATGGTGTGGCCAGCTGAAGGTAATCCCCTATTGATGAGACAATACCCTCTGCTTGCAGGCAGGTCCAAGGGTCAGAGCAGACCCCACTAGCTTGGCAGAAGGGGCCCAAAGAGGAGTTTTTAGGGTTTAAAATGTGACACAGTATGGTAATGTAATGATTCTTACAGGCTGGATGTAAATGCTATAAGATTTGTATCTTGTACTAGGTTGGTTAGTGAGAATTAGAATATTCAACACAGAAGAAGATTTATTGTACTGTAACGGGAACCTCGCTCTCTTACTCTCTCTCTCTCTTACCCTCTCATCCTCCCTACCCCTCTCTTCTCTTAGTCCTGCTCTGAGCTGTGGCTGGCAGCTCCCAGCAGGGCCCTGCACCCAGGCCCTTTGCAATAAACCCCAAATTCCACGCCCTGGCTGCAGAGATCTCTCGTGTCCGTCCGTCCCGACTGTCTGTCCTACCCCCTGACGCTCCTACAGGGATGTTCTTGCTGTCTCCAGCCCCTGCAGTAGCTGGAAAACCCTTGTGCAGGGATTCTCATCTGCACTAGGATGTGCAGCCTGTGTGGGCACCTCACCTAAAACCTGCCCACCGTGCCATGGAGGCAGTGGGATGTTACGGTTTTCCCCCAACACTCTGATGTGGTGCTCTGAATTAACCAATTCCTGCCTGGCTTCCAATGGTGAGATTCCCATCAGTCCCATGGATTCTCTCCTGGGCAGGGCAGCTGGCCAGAGGTCCCTGCCAGCAGTGGGACACCAAAAACCCCACAGCTGAGGGTGACCAGGGGTTTTGGGGATGTAGAGTTTAATGGCATCAGCTGGCAGCTGTGCCACTCGATGCAAAAGGAAATGCAAGACTTCTCCAGAGGGACTGGTTTTCCTTGGTATGTGTAAACAGA